CCCTCTCCAGCCTCCACCTCCCTGACTCCACCCTTCACTTCCTGCCCCCCACCTTCCTGCTCCTCCCACCTATCCACCCAGCCCCCATGGAACCTCTCATCTCAGACCCAGACCCTTCCCTCTGGGCCTCAGGGACTCAGCCCAGCTGGATCTTCTCATCCCCAGACTCCAAACAATGTCAAGCACCTATCAGGGGCCATCTTGCATTCAAGGTCCTCCTCTTGGGATCAGCTGGTGCCTGGGCAACCACCTCCTCTCGATGGCCCTCCCCCTGACTCAGCTCCAGCCACATCAGGTTCCTTGCTATCCCCACATTCTTCAGTGAATTTCCTGCCTCAGGGCCTTGGCACCTGSTCTACCATCTGCCATCACTCCTCCCCAGAGCCTGGTGCACCTGTGGTGGTGCTCACCATAATCCCAGCCACTTGGGAAGCTGAGTCAGGAGGATCTCCAGTTTGAGACCACCCCAGGCAACTCAGTGAGACCCCCATCTCAAACAAAATAAGAGTAAAAACAAAATGCTGTCTAGGCTCAGTTTTTAAAAGGGGGGGGGAGATTCTTCTCCTATCTACAGGTTCCCTGTCACCTCACACCTCAGACCAGAAAGTCCCCCCAACTCCCCGTCCCTCCCTGTCCTCGTGCTACATTTTCTGTTCTGTTCCTGTGGCACTAATCTCCACCTGTGTGCATGCTGTATCAGCCCGTTCCTGCCCTTCTCCTGCCAATAGGGTCTGGCCCCACCAGGGCAGAGATATGTCTGTGTCCACAGCTTGGCACGGGGACAGCACTCAATAAATATTTGTTCAGTGATTGAATGACTTGGAAATTCCCCGGCGGCCCAGGGTGGGCAGAGGTCCGAGCTGGCTCCTCCCACCCACCTGCCCTCCCGCGCCCCGCCCGCAGCCCCGCGCTCCCTCCAGGGTGAGGAACTGGGGGACAGGAGGTTCCTTCTCTCCTCCAACAGCTTCGGGGGCCCCAGCCCCGACCAACCCCAGGACCTTGCCAGCAGGCACAGGAAGCCGCACCCTGGGGACAGATCCATGGGCAAACACCAGGGCACCTGCCCATGTGATAAGCCGGGGACAGCCGGGTTCACACGGAGCAATTAGCCCAGCTGCCCAGGGAAGAGGGGACAAGGGTCCTGCCACCCAGGCCSRCGTCCAGGTTTCTAACAAACACGAYGTCAGCGGTGGGCGGGGCTTGATGAGGCTCCACCTCCCCCGCAACTCAGGACCCCGCTGAGACAAGAGGGCTGGGGACCCCGAGCAAACAAGGCACACGACTGTCCCCAGGCAGCTGGACGGAGAGGCAGGAGGCGATGGCCTGAGTCTCAGGTCCCTTGTCTGCAAGATGAGTTTTCTGTTGGGGGCAGGATGAGCTCACAGGAAAGCCAACAAGGTCCCAAAGTCACTGCCGGCTAAGGTGGCACGGGCCTGTGGTCCCAGCACTAKGGAGGCTGAGGCAGGAGGATCACTGGAGCCAGACGCTGAGAACCAGTCTGGGCACCAGAAGTGGAGCCTGCTCGGTCTTTAAATAAGAGAGAGAGAGAGATGGAGAGAGAGATGGTCTCAACAAAAAAAAATCCACAGTCCCACCGCCGTCCGCTAYCTGATCCAGCAAACAAAAGAAACGTGTGAGCCACGGGTGAAATTCGAATGTTCTAGCCAGACCCAAGCCAGCAGCTGGAAAGGCTGAGGCAGGAGGATCGCAAGTTGGAGGCCAGCCTCAGCAGCTTAGCAAGGCCCGAAGGAACTTAGACCCTGTCTCAAAAACAAAAAGAAAAAGAAAAACAGGTCTGGGGATGTGGCTCTGTGATGAAGTGCCCCTGGGCTCAATCCCTGGTTCCAAAAAAGGAAAGAGAAAAAGAAAGAGAAATGTGTCCTCAAAAAGCAGGGCGGTGAGGGGCCCTCACCGGTCTAGACCCCAGGAGGTCAAGGCCACAGCCTCCCACCCACCTCACAGAGAGGCAAAAGCCCCTACTCACAACCTCCTGCTCTACCTCCTGCTCAGCCCCAGGCCAGGCGCATAGTAGGGGCGCAAGGAACTGCAGCTCTGGATTGAACCRAGACCCAGGCTCACGTGGGGAGCATCCTGCCCCCGGCTCCCGGGCCCAGCCTCGCYGCCCGCCCCAGTCAGATGGCAGAGCCCTGGAAACCTGGGCCTCCCTGGAGACTCGCCTCCCTCTCGCTGACAGTCACACCTGGTGTCCGGTTCCACAAACAGTCTCTGAGTCCCTGCGCTGTCCTGGGCAACGTGCCGGGCAGTGATGGGGACACTGTGGGGACAGCCCAGGCCCGTCTTCTTGAGGTTCACATAGACCATCCCCAGACAGTGAACATCAGGTGATAAGGGCTGGGGTGGGGGACCCCATAGGRCAGTCTGGGAGGGCTTCCTGGAGGAGGAGACAGTGAAACAGAGCAGAAGGCCGCAGGAACGTGCTGGGTGGAGTGGCAGTGAGACGGAACAACGGCGTCACAGGGTCCCAGCAGGCAGGAGAGGGGGTCCCTGAGGCTGTCGGGTGGGTATGCAGAGCCTCACAGGCCACTTTCCACTGAGGGCACTGGGGAGCCATAGCAGGTTCTGAGCAAGGGAGGGACGGGGCAGGTTTCTGTGTTAGGATGTGCCTTCGTCTGCCAGATGGAGGGGACATGGCAGGAGGCGAGGCCAGGGCCAGGGACTGAGGGAGAGTGGAGGGGGGAAGAAGCCGGGCATCGCAGGGCRCCACAGGGAGGGAGGGAGGCTGGGTGGAGGCCACAGGGGGGAGGGAGGGAGGCTTCAGAGGCAGTTGGTGGGGTGGGCACATCAGGGAGGAGGACCGGGTCCCTCTGTCCCTGCAGTGGGGACAGGGGACATCAGCCACCTCCCATGAGGACCAGGGAGAAGAGCATCTGGGAGGATTCCCAGATCAGTTAGAGACGAGGTCACTCTGAGGTGAGCGAGAGGCATCGGGGACACGRGGGGACATCCTGAAGGACACTGGGCCGTGGTCCCAGGACTGGGGTGAAGGCAGGGCCGTCCCGAGCAGGTGAGGTGAGGCCACAGGTGGCGTGGGGACAGGAGGCGCCAGGACTCCCCCCCGCCGCCTCCCCGTGGCCTCCCTGGGTCCCCTCCCCTCCACCGCACCCAGCCCTGCGAGGGCAGCTGAGGACAGCACCCGGGGACAGGTGAGCCGCAGGTGTGGCCCCTGCCAGAAGCAGGCCCAGAGCCACTGGGACACGGTGACAACAACTGTGCGGCCCTGGGGACGCCTGCCAGCTGCCCCCTCCAGAYCAGTGTGAGAGGGCAGAGCCCGGCCTCCCTTTCCCTCGGATGTGGGGCAGACTCCCCGGGCCCAGGGCAGGGGTCTGTTCCAGCCGTGGTCTTCACCCGGGTCTCCCCGGAGCCAGGGCAGTGGCAGCAGGTAGTAGGTGCTCATCAAATAGCTGGGAAGTCCACGGGTCAGTGATTTACGGGGCACTTACTCCGCTGTGAGCACGTCACCCTGTCACACCTTGAGCCCACCGCCTAGGAGGTCTGGGTCTCTGCGCCCCTCAGTCGCCAGAATCCACAATGCTCAAATCCCTCACATCGGACGACACAGGTGGGTTGTGGTGGCACATACCTGCAGTCCCAAGCACTTCAGAGGCTGAGGTGGGAGGATTGCTTGAGCTCAGGAGTTGGAGGCCAGACTAGGCAACATAAAGAGATCCTGTCTCAAAAGAAAAAAAATGTTAAGAGTCTTTCTTTCTTTTTTGGTACTGAGGAGTTAACCCAGGACACATCCCCAGTCCTTTTTATGTTTTATTTTGAGACAGGGTCTCGCTACATTGCTTAGGACCTCGCTAAGTTGCTGAAGCTGGCCTCCAACTTGCAATCCTCCTGCCTCAGCCTCCCGAGTCACTGGGATGACAGGCGTGCACCATCCGGCCTTGCTGGATCCTATACCTTTAACAACAGTCCCACTGATCTGTCCTCTGCCTGGGGCCCCGTTGTGCCAAGCCCTGGTGGAAGTTCTGCCTYGGGACACTCCATGACAGCTCTCGACCCTGAAGCAAGAGGCCAACCCAGCCCACTGCAGGTAAGGGCAGAGATAGACCAAGACTCTGTGAAGGCCCAGAGCCTCCACAGAGGCCCACTGGGCAGACAGGAGGATGCAGGAGAAAGAAYGTGGGTTTCCCAGCCCTTTGTGGGAGGCCCAGGAGAAGAAAGGCCCCGGGATCCCGACTGGCCATGGCCACCCAGCAGGCCTCCGACCTCCTCTCCCTGCAGGGGCCTGGTCAGCTCCGAGCCCCGGCCTCCGTCTCCCCACCTGCATCCTCACGGTGCCCGCCTCGCARGGCCATGTGGCCCTGGGGTGGAGAAGTGGCCGTCCCCGTTCGCCAGTGGCCACCCCAGACCCACCCGCAGGCCGCGGCCGGGGTCGGGAGGAGCTGCCTCAGGTCTCCCCGTCCCTCCTCCCTCCTCCCGGGTGACCTGGTTCTTCTCCCAGAACCAAACCGGGGCCTTTGGCACGAAGAGGGTGAGGCAGCGGCCCCAGGAGGCCTGGCCAGGTCATGGCCCTTGGCCGGTGCCCGCCACACCCACCCTGGTCCCCAGACGGGGCCCCAGATCCTTGGAGACTCGATCCCTCCAAATTCAGGTGATCTCCCCGGCTCCAAGCCACCCGCCCTCCCCGGCCGGCGGCAGACGGAGCCCAGCCCCAACCGGGAAGGGCCCGGAGCACTGGGACCCCAAGGCCACCGTCTCCAAGGCCCAGCCCGGGGTGCGAGATGGCGCTGCCCGGGTGCAGCTGGCTCCTCCTCAGTGGTGAGTGACAACGGCAGCCCCGGGACCCCGGACCCCGGCCTCGGGAGGGGAGGGGACCCCAGCCTGGGAGAGGCGAGGTGGGACCCGAGGCCAGCGTGCCGGGGGAGGGCAGCTCCGCCTCACACGGGCAGTCTGTCCCCTCCAGAGGCACCAGTGGGGGACAGGCCAGGAACAGCCTCCCAGGGAGGTCCCTGGGTGGGCTCCGAGGTTCCTGTGACCAGAGCATGACCCGGGACCAGGGGCCAYGGTCATCTTTCATCCACATGAGCTGTGGAGGACCGTCCGGCTCTGGCCAGTAGCTCTGCCCTGAAGAGGTGGCTTTGGGTCAGCATCTCAGCCTCAGTCACCCACCGGTGAAATGGGTCTAAGTGACAGACTCACTAGAAGGTCCCCGTAGGCAGCATGGATGGGCACTTGCTGGATACCCGTCCTGAGTGCTTTCCCACTGTTAACAAGCCCTCACAGAGAGGACTGAGGCTCAGAGAGGTAAAGTCACCAGCCAAGGACACACAGCACAAAGGGGCAGAGCTGTGTGCCAGACCYGGGGCTCCTCAGCCCCCAGCCTCGTTCTCTCAACCTGGCAAGGTCTGGAACCAGGCCAGGCCTGCATCTCCTTCACGAGGAGTGCCACAGCCACCSACCTCAGGCCACCGCACAGGGAACCCAAGCATCCCTGAGCAGCTCTTGGGGTGTGGGGCTCCTGGTCCTTGAGAAGGACCAGGGTGGAGGAGATGAGCCCCGGCTGCACATCAGGACCCCCACGTCTAACCCGTGGAGTCATAAAACAGCGGGGCTGGAGGGGGGGTCCCCTGGGGTCTTCCGGATCTCTGGGTCCAGCTCAGCTCGGCCAAGCCCTTGCTATGCACCGGCTGTTTACTTAGGCTAGATCCTTGGCGTGGTCCCATTCAATCTCACCACGTACCCTGAGATAGCTACCTGGGCCTATCATTTATGGAGYACCTACTGTATGCGAGGTGGCCAGTCCTCTATTCCTCTGTGAGGGTGGAGGCTGAGTCCATGCAGATGGCCTCCAAGGAAGGCCAGGAGGCCCAGGTGCTGGAAGTCAGAGGGCTGCAGGCTCCAATCCGGGCTTGGTGTGACCTCAGGCCAGGGATGGTCCCTCCTCTGCCACACGGGGGCCTGGGTGGAGCCGGCCCACCCTCTGTTCTCCTCCTCAGTGGGGCTCCTGAGCGCAGGGGCCGAGGTCTCCATCAGCCCCGAGCCYGCCCAGCCGGCCGAGGGGGACAACGTGACTCTGGTGGTCCGCGGGCTTTCGGGKGACGTGCTGGCCCACAGCTGGTACGCGGGGCCCACGCTCAGCCTGAGCTACCTGGTGGCCAGCTACATCGTGAGCACAGGCGACGAGACCCCGGGGCCGTCCCACACGGGGCGGGAGGCCGTGCGCCCCGACGGCAGCCTGGCCATCTGGGGYGTCCTGCCGCGGCACTCGGGGACCTACATCCTGCAGACCCTGAACCGGCAGCTGCAGACCGAGGTGGGCTACGGACACGTGCAGGTCTATGGTGAGAGCCCAGCGCCCCCGCGGCCTCCCGCCCCTCCCCGCGCCTTTGGGGGGAAAAAGAATCTTCTAGAAAAAATTTTTATTGGAGAAAAAAAAAAAAAAAGCCTTAAATAACTGAGCTGCTGTCCTCCCCCAGGAGGGCCTCCAGGATGGCACCTGCCTCCTAAACCCACCCTTCGCCCCTCTGGTGGGGACCCAGGGGCACGGCCACGCCTCTGTCTGGGGCCTGGGAGCAGGTGGTGCCCGCCCCTCCGCGTCTCTCGCCCCCACAGAGATCCTGGCCCCGCCCGTGGTCACCGCCAACGACACGGCGCTGGTGGAGCACAGGGACACCCTGCGCCTGGCCTGCAGCAGCCCCAGCGCCGCCGAGGCCCGCTGGTTCTTCAACGGGGACACCCTGCCCGTCGCCGTCCGCCTCGGCCTGTCCCCTGATGGCCGGGTGCTGACCCGGCCTGGCGTCCGCAGGGAGGAGGCGGGGGCCTACCAGTGTGAGGTGTGGAACCCCGTCAGCGCCAGCCGCAGTGAGCCCCTCAACCTGACGGTGTACTGTGAGTGCCCTGGCGCCCAGAGACCCGAGCCCCGTGTGCACAACGGGAAACCAAGGCCAGGAGAGGGAGCCCCGGGGCACACAGCAAGTCAGCGGGCAGCTGGGGTCAGGAACCAGGGTCCCTCTTAAAATGCACTTGACCCTCACCTAGAGAACAACACGGTGGTGCCCGCCTGAAATGCCAGCGACTTGGGAGGCTGAGGCAGGAGGATCCCAAGTTCGAGGCCAGCCTTGGCAACTAATGGGGGCCCTGTCTCAAAAATTAAAAAGGGCTGGGGATGTGACTCAGTGGTTAAGGGCCCCTGGTTCAATCCCCAGGACCAAGAAAAGAAAAGGAAAAAAAAAAAAAAAACTACAGAACACCTTTGACATTGAGTCATCCTTTAGTTTGAAGAAATCCTGAAGAGAAAAAAATACTCCTGTGGCTGGGAAAAGAAGCAGGGAGGTGGTAATGGGGGAAGGGGGTGGGGGGGCACGTGACCAAAGCTAGCAGTCACTCCCAAGGACAGCAGATGTGCAGCGTGGAGCCCTGGGAAATCACTGAGATGCACAAGACTGTGGTCTAGAAAAATCAAGCCTAGAATCCTAGAAGCCTCCGACCAGAGAGCTCTGGGCTCTAGACTCTGAGAATCTAGAAACCCAGCAGCAGAGACGCTTAGACGCTTAGAATTTGGTTCTAAAATCTTAGCATCTAGAACCTCAGGGACCTAGGTTTCTAGAATCTTAGTACCTAGAAGCATCGACTCTCGAAGCCTTAGAATTCTAGAGGCTTAGAATGGCAGGAAAAACAACCACTTCGGCTTTTTCTTTATTTAACAAACCACTGATCCAACCCTGATTCACAAAGGAAAAAACCAGATTCCCCCGGGAGGGGAGTGATTCCCAAGCTCCTAGAGCAAGTGAGAGATCAAGGTGGGATGGAAAAGGCCCGAGCTCTTTTCTTCCCACCACTAGGCCCAGGTAGCCCCAGGGACCCAGCGTGGTGGAGAGGACCCCTGCTGCCCGCCTCTGTGTCCCTCTACTGCCCYGTCTCCCTCCTGCCCACAGTTGGCCCCGAGCGTGTGGCCATCCTCCAGGACTCCACCACCCGCACGGGCTGCACCATCAGGCTGGACTTCAACACCTCGCTCACCCTGCGCTGCGTGGCCCGGTCCTGTCCAGAGCCCGAGTACGTGTGGGCCTTCAACGGGCGGGCCCTGCAGGAGGGCCCGGACCACCTTGACATCAGCGCCATGACSTCGGCCCAGGAGGGCACGTACACGTGCATTGCCAAGAACCCCAAGACCCTGCTGTCCGGCTCCGCCTCCGTGGTGGTCAGGCTCTCCGGTGAGTCGTCCCCAGCCTGGCCACCACCTGCCCGCCTCGGGGCCCGGCTGGCCTGGAGGGGCAGACCCTCGTCATTGGAAGGTGAACTCCCTGCCCACTCACGGCCCCCCTTTGTCATCCAGGTGCCTGTCACCTGAAAATAAATGACAAATCAGACCTTCCTCCTTGAGGGATGAGAGTGGGAAATGGGCCACGTGTCCCCACACTGTGGGGTGGCAGAGTGGGGGGCCATACAGAGGTCCCTTCATAGGGTGCCCCTGCTCCAGAGCTGGTCACCAGTTGCTCAGGGCTTCAGCCACCCAGACAGCTGGACGTCTCTGCTGCCAACTAGATGACATGCTCATCTGGCCCGGAGGGTGGCACCCACAGTGGGAAAGTCACGGCCAGGCGGTTGGCAAGTGGAAAATCACAGCAGAGACGCTGTCTTCTGGCCTCTGCCCTGAGATGACCTGGGGGCTGGCTCGAGCAGGCACCTGGTGTTTCCAGAGCCATCCGGTGGCCCAGGGGACCTCTGTTTACCCCCAGGGAACGGTGGCTTTTAACAATGGGGCCTCATTAATTCCATCTCAGTTCYTTCCTAAGTGGCCATCATCCCCCTGGGACAGTGGGGACAGTCCTTGCCTTCACCTGTCTCCTCCCTCCCACTAACAAGGTGGCTACTCTTTTACCCTGAGCAGGAGAGGCGGCCCCAGAGGTAAGTGGACCTCACGCCCCGCCCGGCCTGGGGCGTTGGCAGCTGGTCTTGGCAGGAGACCAGGGAGAGGACCAGATGGCCTGAGGCCCACCCCAGCYCTGCCTGTGCAGGCCGACATGGGGAGGCCTGGGGTGCGCAGGTACGCCGAATCCAGCACCTCGCCAGGGCCTCCCAAACTGTCAGAGACCCTGCGGCGGAGGCCAGGAGAGAGACAGGAGGAGACCCCGCTGCTCCCTACTCATGGGAGATGCTGGCCAGACGGCGCAGACGTGGACCCTTGGGCAGATGGTTCTAGAATAGGAAAGCATGCCCCCCCCCCACACACACACACACTTATTTAAGGAGCTGCCAAAGTGAGGAGGCCGGGCCTTGTCCTCCCTGGGCTGCCCGGTAGCCAGGGAGGATGTGACATCCACTCTCAGTGAGCATCCGGTCAGAGGCAGGGGACCCCGTCTGGGAGAATTTCCACTCTGGTGGGGGGACATGGTCTTGAGGAGATGTGACACTGGTTTGTGTTTGGTTTGTTTTTAACTCAGTCTGATGGGGGAGGCACGTTTCCTACCTTTGGGGTACTTCCAATCTGATGGGGGAGTACCGGTCCCCGCTTTCTAGGAACTTCTAATCTGAGGGGGAAAAGCATGCCCCCCAACTTCAGGGGTCCCCAACCTCATTAGAAAGACCCACCCCGACAATCTGTCATTTCTCAATCTGATGGAGGAGACAGGGTCCCAGCCCGGGACCTGACTAAGGAGGCCCGGGCTCTTCCCCCAGAATCCTTCAGTCTGATGGGGGGCTGGAGCCCCCGCTCTGGAGYCTCTTGATGTGACAGAAGAGCTGCYGCGTGGGGGTCACAACTCCTAACTATCTGATGGGGAGACACGCCCCCCTATTCCAAAATTTCCAGTCTCATAGGGGAGACATGGCCCCTGGATTTTGGAAATTTCCAGTAATCTGATGGAGGAGACATGGGCGGGTCCCCAGGGCCTCCCAGGTTGTCACCTGCCCTGAGGCTGGCGATTCCTATTCTGATAGGGGACACACACTGTTCCCTCGGGACAGAGGAGCCGCTTCTACCACCACACCGACCACCTCGTCCCCTTTCCCCCAGCACCCACGCSGGGACCCAGCCAGCCAGGGTGGCACAGATGAGCTAGCGGGCAGGGACCCCACCCCCGGCGCGGTCCTGCTGAGCCGGCCCCTCTCTCCCCAGCGGCGGCAGTCACCATGATGATTGTGCCTGTGCCCGCCACGCCGACGGAGGGCCAGGACGTGACCCTGACGGTGCAAGGCTACCCCAAGGACCTGCTGGTGTACGCCTGGTACCGCGGGCCCGCCTCCGAGCCCAACCGGCTGCTCAGCCAGCTGCCCTCGGGGAACTGGATCGCGGGGCCRGCGCACAGCGGCCGCGAGGTGGGCTTCGCCAACTGCTCGCTGCTGGTGCAGAAGCTGAACCTGACGGACGCCGGCCGCTACATGCTCAAGACCGTCACGCTGCAGGGCAAGACGGACACGCTGGAAGTGGAGCTGCAGGTGGCCCGTGAGTGCGGGGGCGGGGGGCGCACGCGGGGCCAGAACCGCCTTGGCCTCCCCCCAAGGCTGGGAAACCCTCCCGAGGACCAGGACTCCTCCATCTGACCAGGGGAAGTCCCCAGGCGGGGCTCTCTCCTCTCCCATCCACCTGATGGCCCAGGCCGGGACCAGAGAGGCCTCCGCCATCACACGGAGGTCTCAGTCTAAAGGGCTTCCGGGACCTCTGCTCATGGAAGGGGGACAGCAGATGGAAGGTTTTCTTTAAAAATAGGAGCACAGTCAGAGGGCGGGGCTTCTTTATCCTGTGAGTGGAACCTAAGGCAGAGGACAGATGGCCTGGTCACCAGATCAGGGCCATGGGCTAATGCTGGGCCTTCAACTCCTGGTCAGACCCCAGCTAGAGAGTGGGGGCCAGCCAGCCTCTCAGCAGACCCCGAGGTCCTGGACGGTCGGGTCACTTCTCTTCCTTTCTTTTGAAACGAGGGCCAGGACAAGATTCCTACCACCACACAGTGACCTAAGGATGATCTCTATTAGAACAGAGTCTTCTAG